ATAAAAATCTTACACCTAATCTAATGTGAATATAGCAAGGCAGAGCTAAAAGCACTTCTCACGACTGAAAATGATTTCGTTTTGTTTTTTTTGAATGAACTATTGCAGCTATTCTTCTATTCCACGTAAACTAAGTTTTCTTCATATGAAGGATATCGATATGACTAAAAGTGATCAGCGAATAAAATGTGCCAAAAGTCATTGTGACTTATTAAATGCATTTCAATGCACTATTATTCAAGCTGAATCTAATAGTTTTTATTTCAAATGGGAGCCTAGGAACACTTTGTTCTTAAAGATCAAGTTAATCAACAACGTAGCAAAAGCAGGATTTGTAGCTACAAAAAGAAAAACATTAGGCTTTTTCTATGTCAAAATCAATACAGTGTTACTTTCTATATCTACTAGAACTTTGTTCGTCATTGTGCACTTCAGATCATTTAGATCTTTCAGTATTGTTTGGCAGCCATTTTCTGGCACATTTTGAAAAGAACCAATAACTGATGCATTTTCCCTCGGTAGGTCGTTCGTGCCTCTTCAAAAACCATTAAGGCCGTGAAAAGTGTGTGTTGGACTATTTAACAACACATGTTATTATTAATATTGGCTTTCTTGCTCTTTTTTCTCGAGAATATATCAGGATGAGTATTTGTAAAGTCGTGAGGATAGATTTGAATGATTTGAAGTTCCTAATAACGATTGAATTTCTAATAGATATCGAAAAAACGCTTCATATCGTTTTCCACAAAGAGAAAAACCTCATTTTATTCTATTTTTTGTATTCGCAAATTCCACTTTTGTTACATTGTTGTTGAAACGGGTCTTTAATAATACAGATATGTTAGTCTCTTCTTTCAAATAAAATAAGTTTTGTGTTAAGCTTCATTGCTACAGGAGTTACATGTATTTTCAATAGTAACCTTTGGCACATTCTGTATGTTCGTTATGTGTTTTAAACAGGGAGTCTTAATGCGGTCAGTTAAATTAGTTGATAACATATTCACACTAACTACGTGAATATTAGTGATTATACTCATTTTTTTTCTTGTTCTTTTAGAAAGACATGCTTCGACGCTATTTAGTAAAGATTTTATCTGCCAAAAGATTCATGTTCATCTATTACTTCAAAATTTTTTGTAAAACTGAAACAGAGATAAATGTTTGTGATCCGAAAGTCATAGAGGCACTACAAATATAGTGATACACATGGACTATCTAACATTTGACTGGGTGTACCATTCAAAAAACACGAGACAACCTTTGTTCAAAGAGTTCTTGCTGATAGGACGTAAACTTGCGATTATATCTTTAAAATATTTTTTAGTATTTGAGCCTCCCCAAGCCTAATGGCTCCGCCGCCCATGATTATATGTGCCTCTCCACTTGTCATTAGCGGATATATATATATATTTCGTTACACATACTTAGATTATAAATGTATCGAATGTTGCCTTTAATTTGAATCTGTTTTGGATCTAGATCCACCTCGAAATTAACGAGCTTGAATAAGTAGCTTCAATTTCGTATAGATATTATATTTGTTGACAACGATTTTTTGTCATTTTCTGTGCATCATACAATATAGTTTGGAAATTGGAAATACAAGAGTAACGATAAATGATGATAGATAATCACATAAATATGAATCTTTACACAATAAAAATATACTATTTATATATGTATGCATACTAACTATACCTCTAAACTGTATTTTTAAGTTCGGTTTTGCAGAAATATAAATCCATCTCTCTTTCTCATTCACGGCCATTGTACAACTGGCTTGCGTGCGGATGAAGAGAAAAGTCACACCCAGTCTTTGCTGAAATTGTAGATAAGAATGAAATTCATTGAATTTAAAATCTGTTCTGGAACCAGATTACCTTTATTATTTTTTAATCTATTTGTAAAAATTGAATAATTTAATAGCAAAACAATATTAAGACCTGAAAATTTCACGACAAATTTCTCAACGAATGGCAGTGTTAGTAGATTGAATGTGAGTACAATAATTATCCACAATGTAAAAATTGCATTTCATCAAAAAATTCAAATGACCGCGTTTGATATTGATTGTTCTTTCGTACTTCATCATTCATATAATTTAATACTTGTCGTAAATATTTTCTTGAAATAATAATAGATTTTTTAATTTCATTGTTCTTATCCATGTTACATTGTTTTTCTTCTTTAAAACATGGATAATTCATATTTGAACAATTTATATATTTAAAATCAATTAAAAATAATGGTATAATTTGTGATACATGAGATAAAACTAATCTATTTCCATACAAATGTTCAATTTTTCTAACTTTGTTACGTTTCGGTATGGCTGCACATCCTAAAAGAGTATTGGTAGCATTAACATATGATAATGAATAACCAGCAGAATGACTTGAAACGATGCTAGTACTATAAGATCGATTATGTTCTGAAACAATAATAGGTGCTTCATTATTAGATGGAACTGTTCGATTTGGTATTAAAAACCCATAACGAAGAATATTTTCGATATTGTCTAATTTTGTTCCATAATAAACTAAACGTGGAAAATAAGAACTATTTTCATTAAGTTTTTTCATGAAATCATTTTGAATACGTTCATATACTGGTGCAAGACGAATATCAGTAATATTGATATTAGCATGATCTTGAAGAGATGATTTTATATTTTGATGATTAATATGATAAAAATGACCACGAAAGTTTGAAAAACTTTCTAAATGTTCAGCTTCAAGTATTTTCGTGGAATTTGATGAGACCTTTGATTGAATAGATATTAATTGTTTTGATGAATCTATTGATATTGAATTAGTTGGAATTGTTGATTTTTCTTGAAACAGTTCATCACATTCGAAAATCTTTTGCTTTTGTGGATAACGATTATAGCGAAATGATTTTTGTTCAGATTTTCGTGTTATTTTGTCGTTCACACAATTAATTTTAACCAATGTTCGTTGAGATTTGAGAGTTTTCAATGAGACTGGGCATGAAGATTTTTTTAATTTTTGTTTACTTTTTTTCGTTTTTAAACATCGAAGAAATTCAAATCGATCAATTTGATAATCGATATCGAAAGAATCTTGACTTGAATTATAATCCAAAATATCGTATTCACTATCTGACACCATATTTTGACTGCTATAAATATACAAATATGAATTAACTAATATCCATTTCAGAATTAAACACCGATGTTTACAAATTTTGTTGTTATAATGTCAAAACTGAACATTTTTTCCACGATAGATTGTTGAAATTTTGCAACAGAATTCATGATTTCTCAATGTAGATCAAACTGCTCTAGAAATATTCATTGAATCGTATTCTTCAATTCTTATCTTTTCCTCTTCATATTTAAAACGATATTCATTAGGTAAAGAGAACTCGATGAGATACTCTACGATTGAAATATTATGCATTGCTAAAAATAGAATAGATAACTTTAAAAAACAAGGTCAGACAGTAATTAGAATGTCAAGATGATGTTGAAAATTTTCTAAAAAATTTTAGCGCAAACTGATTGGAAAGAGTTCAATATTTAACTGATCACTTTGAACATTTCATATCTAATAATATTCTGCACTCTTGATTTTATAGTCATTTAAACAAAAAAGTTTGTAGATGCTATTGATTGAGAAATATAAGTTCTAACTTTTTCGGTCAATTTTTGAAATGAATTTTAGCATTATAACATAGGAAAAATCAATGTTTAAAAAGAAACTTACCAAATGTGTTAAAAATTGAGAATACAATAAGAAGACTAACAATAAAATATACTCTAATCTAAACGTACAATAGAGCAATTGAAAAGACAATGACAGAATATATATGATAGAGATTACGCAAGAATGATAAAGAATTACGAAATTTTCTATTATTTTTGTGAGCCATGTTGCCTTTATTACTGAAGCACTTTTTTGATAAGAAAAAATATTACGAAATTCTGACGATATCCCAATTTTAATAATTCTGATCATCAGAGTCAACGAATCTGTAGACAGACGAAGATCTCTTTTGGAAGAACAATGCATCAAACATAATTCTTGTGAAACAGGAACTTTGAGGGTATGGACATGGAGTGGGTGTGGGTATGCGATGGGTGACAAGCAAAGGGACACCCACACCTGCACTGACACCCACATCCGCACCCACACACATATCCACACCCCACCCACACCCACTCTTGTTCGATAGAATTCGAAATTATTTTTCATGTTTTCGTTTTATCAAAAACTGTACTTCGTTGATGTTGAAGTCGTTCTGCATCACATCAACTCAACGAGTAAAATGCAACACACAATCAAATATTCTAGTTTGCTATAGATCAGATATTTTGAGAATCAGTTTAAAATAGAAATTCTGAGCAGAGTTCATCGTTCCGATTCAATGTCAGTTTTTGTTATCGATCACCAACCAATCACTAATTTGGTACTTTTTTTCGAAGTGTCAACTACATGCCGTGTAGCTTCATCGACTTCATTGTTACTCAGCGAGAGTTCAGTGAGTGTCTATGAGAAAAAAAGAAGACGGAAATGCGAAAGATGAAGAAAGAAGAAGGTTCACTGTGTTAATTCGTAAAGCATCAGCCAGATATTGGGCCCCTGCATTTCCTATTTTGCATCCATAGAGGCTGAGTTTGCTGAGTGTCTATGTGAAAAAGTGTATATGAAAAAGAGAAAGATGAAAAGAGAAAGATATTCACTTTGTTGTCCCGTAAAGCATCAGCCAGATGTTGGGCCCCTTCACTTCCGATTTCATTTCCACAGAGGTTGAGATCGATCAGTGTCTGTATGAAAATGTGAAGAGACGAATGAGAAAGATGAACAAAGGAAGATGTTTACAGTGTTGTTTCGTATAGCGTCAGCTAGCTGTTGAGTTCCTGTGGCTGCGATTTCATTATAGGAGAGGTCGAGTGTGGTTAAAGTCTGTGTGAACAGATGAACATGGAAATGACAAAGATAAAAAAGAAAAAGAAAAAGAAAAAAGGGTTTACATTGCTATTCCGTAAAATATCAGCCAGACTTTGGATGGCTTCGTCTCCGAGTAGATCGTATGAGAGATCGAGTTCGATGAGTGTCTAGATGAAACAGTGAAGATGGAAATGAGAGACATGAATAAAGAACGTGGTTCACCTTATTATTTCGTAAAGCATCGGCCACATGTTGAGCCCCTTTGACTCCGACTCGATTAGCGCGAAGGTGGAGATTTGTGATTGTCTATGTGAAAATAGAGACGATGAGAATGACAGTGATAAAGAAGGAGAAAGGTTAACTGTGTTATTGCGTAAAGCATTAGCCAGATCTTGGGCTCGTTCTTCGGTTTCGATTTCATTTTTCCAGAGGTCAAGTTCGGTGAGTGCCTGCGAGAGGAAAAGAAGATGGAAATGCAAAAGATGAAGAAAGAAAGAAGTTCACAGTGTCATTGCGTATAATATTAGCTATATCTTCAGCCGACTTATTTCCAATTTCTATGCCGCCGAAGATGAGCCTTTTAAGTGTCTGTATGACGAAATGAACATAGAAATGGGAAAGATGAAGAGAAGAAGAGACTTACCATGTTATTTCGCAAAGCATTGGTCAGAAGTTGAACACCTTCATCATCGATTTCATTGCTTACGAATCTGATTTGAGTGAGTGTCTATGGGAAGAAACGAACATTCAGATGCAAATGATGAAGAAAGAAAAAGACCCACTGTGTTGTTTCGAAAAGGATCAACCAAAAGCTGAATACCTTTGGTCTCCATTGTATTGCCTGACAGACTAATTGTAGTGAGTGTCTGTGAAAAAAAACACGAAGGTGTAAATTCGAATGATGAAGAAAGAAAGGGATTCACGGTGTTATTTCGTAAAATATCAACCAGATGTTGGGCTACTTTCTCTCCAATTTCTACACCAGTGAGCTCGATTGTAGTAAGTGTCTGAATGATGAAGTGAAGATAGAAATGAGAAAGATGAAGAGAAAAGGAGACTCACCGTATTATTTCGTAAAGCGCCAGTCAGATGTTGAATTTTTTCTTCTTCCATTCCACTTCCGAACAAACTGAGTGTGGTAAGTGTCTATGCGATGGAGTAAAGATAGAAATGAGAGGTACGAAGAGAAAAAGAGAGTCACCTTGTTATTTCGCAAAGCATCAGCCAGATATTGAATCCCTTCGCCTCCCACTGTATTACCACAGAGACCGAGTCCGGTGAGCGTCTGTGTGAAAAAGTTAAGATGGATAATGGATATGAGTGGTATAAAACGAGAAAGAGATTCACCGTGTTATTTCGTAAAGCATCAGCAAGATGTTTAGCCGCTTCATCTGCCAATGTATTGCTCATCAGGGTGATTGTGCTGAGTTTCTGTTCGAAAAAAGTGAAGATAGAGATGAGAAGCATGGAGATAGAAAGAGTTTCACCCTGTTGTTTCGGAGAGCATCAGCAAGATGTTTACCCGCTTTATTGCCGATGTTATTTGAAATGAGAGTGAGTTCGGTGACTGTCTGTGAGAAAAATTACTGTAGAAATTAGAGACATAAATATAGGAAACACTTGTTCTATGATGAAGGAAAGAAGACACCAATGATGAAATGCGCGAGATGGGCAATAGCTTTTGAATCGTGGTAGTATATTTTGTTGTCCCTGTCATTATTTTACTAAATAAAGCAACTGATGAAAAACTGAAAACATTACTGCGTTACAGTTTTCTTCGAGTAGTACCGTAGTGCTTACCATGATACTTGGTTCTATTAGCATTAGTCCATTTTATCCCAGATATTGCTATTTGTGGTATCAAGATGCATGGGATCGAGGCAGATAGCGCTTCTCTCCTCACATATCTCAGTATCAACAGTAACAATATTTGCGAACCAAATATTAGTTTTCATACGGTGAACTATTATGACAAGTATTATTGCGTTACTTGTGATTCCATGTTGATACTCAAAAGCTCTGATTTACTCAGTAAAGTAATGACACAGGAAAAATCCATGTGTCAATTCACTTCCTACAAAGCGTGAAACGTTATCCATTAAGTTTCTGACCTACATCGGATATGGAATTGCTCCCACGATTCACGTCCTCCAACGAGACTTCAATTCCCACAACAGTTACTTCCAAAGCACTTACAGCCTAATAACAGTTATTCTCCGGAGATGTGCTCTCCAAAATCACTTGGCATTTAGCTTTCCTTTTTTTTTGACTAGTTAAAAATAAATTTTGAAGATTTGAAAGTGAATAAAATTAAAATGGACATGAGATGTTAAATCTCCGCAGAACTTCAAGATACTAAGTCCCTTCATGTTAATTTTAAAATTATAGACAAGTGTGCTGAATCGTCATCATAACTCGAAGAAGAATGTGGATGCATATGTACCTCCAGAGTTACCGATGTCAAAACCCACAGCTACATCTTGCTAGATCTAATCTGAACATATCAAGCGTTCGCTTTTTTTTCGCAGAAAACCAGAAGTTCGTGACAGAATTGCGTAACCACGATTGGGCACAATTTTGACAGAAAGTTCAATCAGTGTCCTTAGCAGTTTACATCTTGTTTTTGAACCAGATCTGCCACTTTTTCCTCTTTTTGTGGAAAGTTTCTGCTTTTTCATATAAAAATAACTTGTTCTCTTGTGTCGGACACCTGATTCATAGGTGTTCGACTAAAAGAACAAAACGACATGTTTTCTTTTCTCTCTCTACCACTGTCAAACATCACTCTTCTTTCAACTGATAGTTAACTCTATCAATTGACTTCCTTTACGTGCTTTCTTCATACAGAAAAAATATCAAATTTGAAAACTTAAAAGATTTTTTCTGATCAATGGACACCGAGATAATAATTGATGATGAAAATAATCAAGAAAATTTAATAACAACAACATCAATACTTCAGTCAGTTGAAAATAAAACGATGGAAGCCACAATAGATGCTAGTGAAAAAACGAAGAAAGGTGTTTTCAATCCACAATAGTTGCTCGATGCTAATTTCGGATAATTTTTATGAGAGTATAAACCAGATCCAACTAAAGTTGTTTGCATTGCCTGTAATGAACAGTTTTCTATCCATCATGGTGGAAAAAATGATATTGATCAACATACAAAATCGAAAAAACACATCAACAATATGAAATCAGTCAGTGTAAATCGTCAATTAATAACATCAACGGTAAAACCAAACAAGGAGGGCGAAGAAACAGCAGCTGCAGAAGGTACTCTTGTATATCATGAAGTCAAGCATGGACATTCTTATTCATCTCAACAGTGCGCGACAAATGGCATCAAAATCATGTTCTCATCTTGTTCTGAAATCGGAAAATCAATCAACTGCGGATGAACAAAGTGCTCGTCGATTGCAGTTAATGTCTTAGCTTCGCATTTCACTCAAAAAGTTTTACTTGAAGTGAAGGATGTATATCATTATTCTCTCATCTTCGATGCATTGATTCCGATTTGCGTACAGTATTTTTCAAAATTCGGGGTAAAGAAAGGTTTTTATTCTTCTTTTCAGTTATTTACGAATATTAATTTTTAATTTTTTATACGTGATAGGTATCATTGATTTGGTCGAAGATGCTGATGAATCAGCAGCAAATATTTATGAAAATCTCCAGGCTGCGATTAAAATAGCTGGTTTACATTTAGAAGGTCTTACGTCCATTAAAGCAGACAATGCGAACGTTAACATGGGCAATAATCACAGGATCTACTCGTTATTGCATGATGAGATTGAAAATCTCATAAAGAGTAAGCTCAGTGAAGGAATGAATGTGCCTGTTTCTTCATTTATAGATGAATTATTAAGGAAACTGTTTTTCTCATGTTCTACATAACGGTGTGAAATGGGGTCATCAGCTATTAACAGTTGATGTTGAAAATTTTCTTATGATAGCATACATTCATTTTCCTCGTTCAGCCAAAAGAATTGAAGAGCTCAACAGTTATTATGAATTTTATGAACACGATTTTCATGTAAGTTTTCCTTGATTAACAAGTGAAGTAAAATTAATTAATGATACTCTTTTATAATTTGTTTCAAGTTTTGATTTAGCACATCAGACTCCGATGGTTATCATTGTATTTGCCCATCGATCGTTTGTTACTTGTCTACAAACCAGTAAAGAAATATTTCACGGATCAATCAAACGAAGAAATTCCAGAAGAATTAAAAACAAATATCGAATCTGAAGAGACATTATGTGTCTTAACATTTTTACATCATATCCTCTTTGAAATTCAGAAGGCTAACTTGGAGTTACAAAAAGAATCAATTACAGCAATCGATTTATATCGAATTATAACAGCACTTCAGTACAAACTAAAACAGCGAATGCACATATCATTGTTCGGAATTCACTGTCGACAATTGTTAATCAGATGCCATCTGATACTGCTACTAAATTACAAGCTTCATTCAATTCATCATGAAATTTTTAGAGTACGTCGACAAATATTTCTCCCGAAATGCTGTTCTTCTAGAAACAATTGAACATTTCGGTAATGGAATTGAGGATCTTACTTGGAACCAGATTCAAAAATGTATTGAAGTTACAAAAATCCAAGGTTTGAACGAAGATAATCTATTCAATGAGTTTACTGAATTAAAATTGACTTTCGAAGCTACCAAAAAGAAAGAAGTACCATTAGTTGATCAGATTCAATTTTTTCTTTCGAATGCTGCAGAAAAAGAAATTCACAATTCATCAACGACGACGATGAGACAAACTGAGGTCGACGAAGAAGTTGAGGAAGAACAAACAAAAGTAATTCTATCAGATCAACTATGGACCATGTTATTAGCTGTCAATACGACATCAATATCAAATATGAAAAAACTAATTTCTTTTTTTGTATTCAATTCCCGCCAGCAATACTTATGTGGAAGGTGTTTGTTTGTTCGGAAATGAAACATTTACTTAATGATTTTCGTAATCGAGTGACATCAGATTCAGTAGCTGCTGAATTACAAATTCGTCGAAATGACTCATAGTCATGTACGAATATGCACAAATATTTGTTGTCTCAAAAAGAATTACTGACAGTAATTAGTTCTAATTATAAGTATACATTCAAAAAACAATGGGTTGAGTAAACTTTCTATTGTTTTTCACGTTATATTCTATATTTTTTCATGTTATATTCTATGATATTCTATGCTTTTCATGTTACATTCTATGATATTCTATTTTTTTCATTTTATGTTCTATGTTTGGAAACTTTGCAAATTGTAAAATGAAAAAATGCCACAGATTGAAACAAAATGGTTAAAACAGTTAGAAATACTACAAGCTGACAATGCTATAGTTTTCCGCTTTTTTTCCGCATTTTTTTGTTTTTGTTTCCGCTTTTCAGATATCGGTAAGGTGGGATCCCTGTTTTGAACTGAGAATCATTCATTGAAAGTTTATGACCATGATGTACGAATGCGGATTTATTTTACGTTAACTAACAGACACAGTTACTGATACATCTTCCTGTCGAATTCTTATTAAGATTGTCATCTGATCGAGCAAAAGTAGTTGACTAGATCCTTGTGCCAGAATCAGATTTGATCCCGTGTAACACATGATGAAATCTTGATAGAATTTTTCTGGTACTCCTCTAAAGATTCTGACTAGAATCAAGATTGAAAAGTTTTAGGGTCCTGCACTCATCAGTTAGAAAATATATGTTGGCAGGAGTCTAAAAAAATTCTAATCAGGATCCCAAATATTTTTAATTTGTTGACAAAAATTGTATAGCGAAATACCAAGTGTCGTGCGAGTACATTTCCACTGAACATCATTCATTGATTCTCATATATATATAATCAAATATCATGTCTGTTAGATATTAAGTCCGCTTCCTTTCGAGAATACAAAATCAAAACCATGTAATGACATCACATTCATACTAAATCACTAGTACTTTGTATGTTAATAATGTAATAAACCAGTATTTTTGGCGTTTTCTATCCCTGACGTTTGGTAAAAAATAAAATACTATTTTGGAAATTTTCAAAGACATGAAAGCCAAAGTACCAGGCAATGCAGAACAGAGTTCATTATTTTGAATGATGGTTGAAATTAACAAAAACCAATCTACTCTATTGAAGGTATGCTAATCAAAAGATGAGTGTTGGTTCTATTTACTTCTATATTTGAATCAAATCGTTGCTGTCAAATAGCACAAGAACACAGTGCATAGTGATGTGTATCAGAATAGAGATAACAAGGTAGCAGGCCATATATATACGTCTAAAATTTTCCATTTCTTAATTCTTGACATTAAAACATTATCCTCTCACCTCGTTATTTTGTAATTTCCTGGCAGCAATAACCATGTCTTGATCAGATAAGTCACACAACATCAATTGCGGCGAGTCGCCATTTTCAGAAAAAAGTTTTTCCACATCAACCGTGGGACATTCTGAGTTATTGTTTGATTCTTGTTCTTGCTCTAAAATGCACATATGTTTTAGAATCCTTCGTGTAAGAGAGAATGACGGGGAGGAGGCAATGCTAACTGTTTCGCTCTCAAATATATACATATATATGAACGATTAGAAGTTCTAAAAAATAGAACTAAATGTATTCCCAGTCTTCTTTTTGGCAAACCTTTCAGAAATTCCGTTAGATCAGTACTTTCACACCCTCAAGCTGAAGAGTAGGGAATCACTCTGTTTTTCTACTCGAAATTTCATTAAAAGCAAAATGTTAGAGAAAATCGAATCTTTTTTTTGTTCCTAAATTTTGAGTATTGTTATTCATCCATCAATTATAGCTTTTTACAGAAAGACCAGACATCCAACTCTATAGTAAACAATATGCTTTTACTTTCAAATAATACTTTTAATACATAAAATCTTTACTCAAACTGCCACTGGAATGCTTTTTTTTAGATGAAATGTTGGATCTTTCTATATGTACATATGGCTTTCAAAAATTTTCACTTGTGTTACACTAAAGAATACCTGAAGACATTTTTGGCACCAATAATTTCAAACCGGAAAAATGATAATGTATATAATATAAAATTGATCAGTTTTCGTCTTTCTCAACAATCAGAAATAATTTGGCACTAGATGACGATGGATGCACCAATTAGATGCACGAAACAATGATAAACTGAATCTGAAATGAAAAAACAACAACAATGAAATAATTTCAGTTAAACATGAACAATGTGACATTGGAACTTTTGAAAAACGTAAATCTTGAGAATTCAAGAACGATCTCAACAAGCAAATATCATACAACAAAAAAATCATAGAAGAAAATTGCAGTATCTCTCTCATGCTCATGATCAAATGCAAACTAGATGAGAAATAACACAAAAGACTAAAGGAAATATCAGGACACGTACAGATTTACATTGAGACACTAACTTTTGCCCACAAGCATCTAATTACCACTATGCGACTATACATGCTCATAACAAAGGTATCAGCGTCAGTGCTCTGGTTTTCGGAAACTAACGTTCAGTTGGACACAAAAATATCCTATTTTGGTTCAATGAAATTTTTATCATGTTATCCAATTGAATCATATATAAACTGAAAGAGACTCATTTCATGAGTATTTCGATACTAAGTGTAAGGCATATTTGTCAACATTTTCAAACATAACTTATTATATGTCTCGCTATCTAATGGTATCCTGTATCAAAAAGTTGACCTTCGAGTGAAAGCGTTACCTTGGATCAAAGCTATCGAATGAATTATCAAGTGTTTCCAGTTTGCTGGTTATTTCTATATCGTGCCTAACCTTATATAACTGTGTCATTTATCTCAGTTTCATATTTTGCATACTTTCTGGGCGATGCATGGTGGCCAACAACGTTGACATTATGCGGAAAAATCTACGATGAGATTTTTCAAGAGTTGAAAAGTGTGAACTGTACTGATTTGAAGGCTCTCTATCGGATGGTGTAAACATTTTTATTGTACAGCTTTTCCTTCTGGAGAAATTCAAAAAAGAAAAAAAAACAAAAATTAAGAAGTATGCTGGAATACAGCTTTATTCAGTATAACGAGTCTCTTTAATTTCTCTTCACTTTAAACCGGTTCAAACTTTGGCAAAACATTATTCAATTCATAGTGCAAACATATCTGGAATGAGTTATAGCTTTTCAAAAAAATGAAGGTTTTTGAAGCTTTCCTTATTTTTCTACGCTCAGAAACCATCCCAGGACAAAATGACGGCCTATTTGGAATTATCGCACAAGTTTTCATTGAAACATGTATAATAGGCTAGTTTTTCAAATAAAAGCCTTTTGGTAGAAAATGAAGCAAGGGTCCTACCCAGACAGGTTTTACAGTCGGAAAAAATTTCAAATTCACCTTGTCTATCAGAAAACGGTTTCTAACAAGAAAAAGCTGTTATTCCTATGCCAAAAAAACTGATTTTAACATGAAAGGAGTCATGCTCATGAGTTTTGCCTCTTGAGGAATAACAGGTTTCTAGAAACCCAACTCTTAGGTACCTCTGCGTTCTGAAACCAACTTCATAGAAAAAAGACACAGGCAAAAACCTGTCATAAAATATTTTTAAGCGTCTTGAAGTGTTTGAAAGCCCAATTTTCACATGCCAATAAAAAATTGCTCACGGTGCGATACTGTTTGTAAGTGGCAAAGATAGCTTGGAATTTAACATTGAAATACTCACCAAATCACTTCTCTATTACCTCATATACGATTGACTAAGATAATATTGAGAAAAAGTGAATGGAGTCAAAATAGGTTCTTGTCCACATTGGTCCCTTCCCCATATATGATAATTCTTATCCGGCTTTGGCCTGATTAGGATATATTATGGGCTGACAATCGACTATTTTTGTTGACGCTCCCTGTTTAATGGAACTCGCAAGTCTTTCTATAGATATTTGACGCTCATTCTCACGCAGCTCTGTAGTTTCTAGCTGATACTTCAAGGTTCAATAACACGGAGAGTCATAGTCTCGGTTAATGGCATCATCGGCACATTCCAAAATGGGGTATTCATAAAAACCCGGTATTGTCTGCTCTTTCATGAACAGAGATGAATGTCTAAAAGTCTGAATTTTTTACTGAAGCAAGTAGTCAGCAGGATGTGTTGGTTTCCAAAGTTTCAGCTACTCGGCTTGTTCGAATCGGGAAATATGAAGTCGATAGTGTGCTGACTAACGCCTACCCTTCTTTAATAACTAATCTGTTTCGGTTAGTTTTTTCTGGAAGTATTTGAGCATTCGCTCTAATGCTAATTTCAAAAAAGAATCAGGCCAACTATTTTTCAAGAGCCTCAAGATCCTAAGCACCTGCTGGGTTCAGATATTTGATTTTCAAAAGAGACTTTATCACCGCATCGGTTCATATGCAATAGAGTGGAAGTTTTTTGGAGCAAATAGTCTGCCATCATGATTTTGAAAGAAAACATTAGTGTTCTATGAAGACAATGAATTTTCAATTTTCAAGACTGGATTATATCCATGCATTCAAAATTTACAAGTTCATGAAAGGTCGTGATTTATATCAACTTCTTGAAAAGTTACGGGCATAATACTGAGAGCGTCGAACTGAGTTACACTCATGCTTTTCATGTTTTATTTTTTTAAATATATCATTAAAAGGATACGCAGCATCCGTCACGATAACAGCAAAATAAGGTAGTATATCTGGAATCCTGTGGAACACTCCACACAGGGCGTTTTCTATGTTTTCCACCGTGATAAATCGATCGAGGATATTTGTTTCCTATTCAAGTCTCTTTTACTTCATAAAACTCTTGTAAAATCTTCAGATTAATTATCAGTGCGAAACAAGTAAAATTTGCTATAGCTTCGTCACATCAGGTGTCTGTACTACGTAGTATAATGACGCTAAATAGGACACGCGAGTTCCATATTTTACTATGTATGAAGCTGTCCTGAATTTCCTTTTTGTCTATGAAACTGAAATAGGTTTCTCACAAAATTTTTTGGAACTTCTCAATCGTTGCTTTTTTCTCGACATCAAATTACAAACAAAGTCTGACT